TTCATCTGTTTCCTAACTGGGGAAAGTCTGCTTAGAATTTAATTCTGTTGTCCAATGTCACAGAGCTGGTAGTGAAAAATGTAGGCCCAGGGAGTTGTTGTTAAGTGCCATCGAGTCTGTTCTGACTTTAAGTGACCATGTATAGAGTTTCCGAGGAGCGGCTGGTGAGTTTGAACCGCTGACCTTGCGTCCCAGTGCTTATCCTGCAGTGCCACACCAGGACTTCAGGGAGGGCTGGGGTCATTTCAGATGACAGCCTCTGAGAAGGCACCAGATTCTGAAGGTCCTCAGCTTGGAGTCCAGCCTCAGCGGGAATGGACAGTCCACATTGACCTGGTCTGGAAAGGATGGCCTGTTTACCGTAATGCTCCAAGAGACCCTCCTTCCAGAACAATCCAGAGAGATCTGGAGGCACAATCTACACCTTCCTAGAAGAAAACACATTCTAGGCATGGTGCCATCCACCTGCAGAACTTTTACAGGAATCGTAACCAGTGTCTCTGGTTAAAACAGAAACAGGATTTTAATTTCTGTTTTCATGTCTGGTGGCAGAGTGTTCATGCCACACAGGGAAGGTAGGAACTTCTGCAAAAGTGGTTTTGAACCAACATTTAGCTAGACCAGCTTTCGGACTGGTAATGAATGAAACGACTACTTTTTTTACTTTTTTGTCAAAAAGTCACTTGGTTTTATAGTGATCAGACATGGAGAAGGAGTCCTGGTGTGGTGCTGTAGGAGAAAGCACTGGACTACAAGGTTGGTTTGAACCACAAGGTAGGCGGTTCAAACTCATCAGCTACTTCTTGGAAACCTTATACAAGTCGGAACCACTAGATGGTACCTAACAAAACTAGACATGATGTGTGATGGACAGGGATGATTTTTAAGTGGACATCGCTTTGGCCTCGGTCTTCTGGCTCTGTAAGTGAGTCTTTGTCCCTGCCCCCATCTGCAGTAGGACGGCTGGGGGTCCCTGCCCTGGAGACCCCTAAGAACTAGAGAGCAGAGCAGGGTGTGTGTGTACATGTTATTGAGGCCTTGGCTGAGTCCCATGAGGCTCTCAGGATAAGGATCTAAGAAGTCCCAACTCCTGCCTGGGAGCTGAAGATTGAGTGCTAGGAACTTTGCTTTCTTTTCCTCTGAGGTTGGCCCGTTGCCCTTAAGTCTCCTCAGACTCATGGCGCCCCCTTGTATGTCAGAGTAAAACTGTGTGCTCCATCAGCTTCACACGCTGCTAACTCCAAGGTGCTTCAAGGTTTGAATCCACCTCGAGGCACCTTGGAAAGAAACAAAACAGCAGTTGCCAACCCCCGGGAGCATAGTTCTACTCTGACACGTATGAGGTGGCCATGAGTCTGAGGAGACCTGAGGGCGTCTGGTTTCTCCCAGGTAAGAAACTTGCCAGCTCACATAGCATTCTATATCCCATTTCATTTCACGTCCTTCTGTAAAGGGAAGAGTGAGAATGCTCTTCTTTTTACAAAAGAGGAAGTTGAGTCTCAGAAAGGGAAATGGTTTCCCTGAGGCCACATGGCTGGTCAGGTGGTTTCTGGGGAAGGGTGGGCTCTGTCTTTGATAGAAATCAGCAGCTCTGATGTGACTGTGGCATAAAGCCCTGTACTCGTAAGGTGCGTGGATCAAACTCACCAGTTGTCCCTTGGAAATCCTATACAGGGTTACTATGAGTTGGAAGTGACTCAACAGCATTCAACAACAACAACATGATGGGGCTCTGTAGGATAAGCACTTGACTGCCAACCACAAGCCGGAAGTTCAAATCCACCAGCTGCTTCTTGGAAACCTTATACAGGATCACTATGTGTCAGAACAACAATTCTGTTGGCATAAAATTGTGTAGCGTATGTCGGGAAACAAAAAAAGGCAACGAATGCCAAGACTTTCTTTCCCTAGCCTCCCTCCCCCACCAACAACATAAAACAAAAACAAAGAGGAGGAATGGAAGCTGTCAGAGGTTGGCTCTGGGCTGGAAGTAACTTTCTTTGTCTTCCTCCCAGTTTAGAGCTCAGGGAGCCAGACTTGGGCGGGGGGGAGCGGGGTGGCAGGGGTGGAAGAAGTGTCTTGACTTGGCGGGTGTATTTCTGGCAGCAGTGCGTGAGGATGAGCCAGGCAAGTCAAGCGTCAACAAATACCCACGCAGGTGCCAGCTACTCACTGTTCCTCTGGGACCCCTGTCCCTCCTTCACACCTGCGTCCTCAGCCCCACCCAAAGTCCCCTCCAGCCTGTCCTCCCCCTCTCTCCTCAGAAGCCCTCAGCCCCCACCCTCTGCTCCTGATATGCTTGGCTGGCTGGGTGGGGTAGGGCCAATTTTTTAAGACATTCTGTTGGGCCACAGGTGGAAAGTTCTAGGACCTGCTCGGCCCCTCCCCCATCCCCAGTTGACTGTATCCCAGCAGAACAAAGGCCAGAGTGGGGGTGAGCTCTGGCCAATTCACTTTTGTATGCCAAAAGCTTGGGAAGGGCTGCTGGGGGTGAGGTAGGGGTGGGGGTGAGTGGGTGGGTGAGGCTAGGATGACCTCACTCAGGTAAGGGATCCAGTGAGGAGTGACTTTGATGTCCTGGGCCTCTGGGGAGCTTCAGTTTACTTCTTTTAGCCCAGGCAGTAAGAGTCCTGTTGCTGGCCGTGGGCCATGATTAGATCATCTCAGGAAGGCCTTGTCAGTCACATTTGTTATCTTTGTTGCTCAGCCCCCAGGCCTGTGTATGCTCCTTCCTCAGAGCCTTGTAAGGGAAGTCCAGAGAGGAGTGGTCTAGGTAGAAACCATGGCTGTTTGTGGTAGTGTGTGTGTGGTGTTTGTATGTATATGGATGTGTGTGTGGATGGGGTGTGTGGTGTGGATGGGGGTGTGGACAGCTGAGAGCCAGGAGTGAGCTGAACTGCCCCTCATTGTCCCATAATCCAATAGGTGTCACTGTGCCGGACTGAGGCTGAGGAGGGCATAGCTTTTGTCTAAAAGAGCCCAAGACCCAGAGGGGAGACAGATGTGTTTACAGTTAACTTTTGTTGTTGCTGTTCTTAAGTGCTGTCAAGTCGGTTTGTATCCATAGCAACCCTGTATAGGATTTCCGTGGAACAGCTGGTGAGCTTGAACTGCCGACCCTGTGGTTCAAACTGACTTTGCAGTCCAGCGCGTTAGCCCACAGCGCCATACCAGAAGTCCATAGTTAGTTAGCGTCCCCATTTGTAAGGTGGGTGGCTATCCCTTCGGTGCCTCAGCCTGGACTGGAGTTTAGATGCTGCCCACAAGCTAAGGGCTCCTAGCCCCCTTCCTTGCTGGTCCTCCCTGAGGAAGCTCAAGGACAGTGCATTGGAGTGCCAGGTGCCATGGTGGACAGATGATGACGGGGATACAGGTACACAACAAAGCCCTGCTCCCTAAGATGCTTCCCCAGCATGGTGGAGAAGAGACCCCAGAATGACCATGTAGGGGTAAGGGACCCCTTGATTCAGCCTACTCTCCCCCCCTACAAAGGCCCTTTCTTCTTGATTCTTTAACTCCCCACCACTGGACCAGGTCCTTCCTGATCCTGGACCCCTGCTTGTCTTCCCTCATCTCCTGTTTCTAACGACACCTTCCTGAAAGGTATGTGGACCCCCTCAGCCTGGACCCGAGAGGCCCTTGCTCATCTGTGTGCCTTGGTAATGGTGGGGCTTGAGTGGATCTTGGAGCGGAAGTTTCAGACCTTTCCCCTTGTGCCTCTAGCCCACATGCACCTGTCTCTGGTCAAGCTGGATTACTCACTCTTCCTGGCACTGCCTGCCCTCTCTCATCCACCCTTGCACAACTCCAGGGGGCCCCGTTCCTGGGGATTTCTCTCTGACTTGGTGTCTTCTGCAACATAGCCAACGAGTACAAGGTGGTCAGCATTCCCTGGAGTTGGAGCAGGCAGGACCTCTCTGCACTCAATTCTCTGTTCCTCATTCCCTGACCCAAACCCATCTGAGGGTCTGAGGCCTCCCTTCCCCTTTGAAGTCTTGGGGGACTTTGAACCCATCCTGGTGTAATCAGATAACTCTATGTGTCTTTACAGCATAAATTTCTGTTTGCTGTTCTTAGGGTCTGGCCCCTAGTTTACTCTTTGTGATGTTCCCACAGGAGCAGAGCCCACTGGCTTAAACTTCCACAGATGGGACAAGCTTCCTCCTTTTGGCCCTAACATGTCACCTCCAGGCGACCGTCCTGTGGCAGAGCAGGTGGTGATGGATATAAGAGTCCTGGCCCCCAGGCCCTCACGCCCCCAAACTAGCCATCACTACCACCACCAGCAGCAGCATCCTAGGTCTGACATCACTGGTGGTGAAATTGTCAAAAGTAAGGGAAAGGGTAATCGAGGCAGACGTGTCTTTGACATTCCCAGAGCTCTGTTCTTATCTTCCTGAGAGTCTCTTCCCCATCCACCTGCCCGACTTTGGAACAACAATGACGGCACACGGGGCGGGGAAGCCTGGTCTTCAGGCCCCCAGCCTGCTACCTTGCCCCTCCCCTCCCTGTGCAGGTCCTGGTGGCTCTGGGTTGTGTGTGACTCAGTGTCTCGCTCCCAGCTGACCTCAGCACAAGCCTGGGGGTAGGGGAGAGGGCAGTTTCCTCTGAGTCTGGCTCTCCAGGATACGGACCCAGAGATACAGGGTTGGGACTTTCAGGTGCTTTGGTTGGCTTCAGTTCAGGAATCCAGAGAAACTGGTCAGGGGGAGGCCTCAGTGACCGAAACCCCTCCCTCTGCCTCCGCCCGCTCAGTCAGAGCCATATAACCACTCTGAGCCCAGCCTGAGGAGGAGCTTCAAGCAGCTGCAGTCAGAAAGGAACTGGTCTGGTCACCCTCCGGCTGGTTTGTGCATCCGACTCCAGAGACATCTTGGTGAGCTCTTGGGTGACTGTTCTGACCGGCTCTGTCTCGGGTCTTCGAGCACTGAGTGGCTTCCTTCAGCAACGCTTGTAATTCTACAACCTTCTCAGGCCCAGACCCCCGCTGACGCTGAGCCATGGCCTCCATGGGCCTGCAGGTGATGGGCATCGCATTAGCCGTGCTGGGCTGGCTAGGCGCCATCGTGAGCTGCTCACTGCCCATGTGGCGAGTGACGGCCTTCATCGGCAGCAACATCCTCACTGCGCAGGTTATGTGGGAGGGCCTGTGGATGAGCTGCGTGGTGCAGAGCACCGGCCAGTTACAGTGCAAGGTGTACGACTCGCTGCTGGCGCTACCTCAGGATCTGCAGGCAGCCCGCGCTCTCATGGTGGTCTGCATCATTGTGGCTGCGCTGGGCGTGCTGCTGTCTGTGGTGGGCGGCAAGTGTACCAACTGCATTGAGGATGAGACGGCCAAGGCCAAGACCATGATTGTAGCCGGTGTGGTTTTCCTGCTGGCTGGCCTGCTGGTGATGGTGCCTGTGTCCTGGACCGCCAACAGCATCATCCGCGACTTCTACAACCCCTTGTTGGCCTCCTCACAGAAGCGGGAGATGGGCGCCGCGCTCTACATTGGCTGGGCTTCTGCGGGCCTGCTGCTGCTTGGGGGTGGCCTGCTCTGCTGCAACTGCCCACCCCGCAATGACAAGTCCTACTCGGCCAAGTATTCTGCTGCCCGCTCTGTCCCGACCAGCAACTACGTGTAAGGTACTGCCGCCCAACTCCATCCCTTCCAGCTTTATTTTCTCTGGACAGGACGGCCTTGCCACAGGGGCTTGGCACACAGAGACTGAGTCAGGTCACTGGTCAGCAGCCCTTCAGCCTCTGGCCCTTCTGGACACCCTCTCAAGACTTCCTCTCCACTAGTGAGGATGGAAGAACCGGAGCCACACAGTGTGGCGGTGAGGGATGAGCTGGCTCCTGCTGTCCAGGGCAGCTTAGCCTTGAAGTGCTGAGCATACACATGGTGCCCTGTCCACGCCTGTACTGGACACCATCCCATCATCATCTATGATTCCTTCGAGCATCTCTCTCCTGGTCCAGCAGCACTCTGGGCTTGCCCTAGTTCCAGTGTGTTAGTGGGTGGCCGAGTGGGTCTGTGGTTGTTTGGACTGGGTTAGCCATCGAAACCTGAGGCCCTGAGTACTGAGACCTAGCTGGGGCCTCGCCCAGCCGCCCACCTGCTGAGAAGCCCGGGGAGTGGACAGACGGGTTTGGGAGGGGAGGGGTGAAGGTGCTACAACTGGTTTGGGTGGTGGTGGGGGAGGGGGCCAGGGAAACTGCTCCCACTCTTCCCACCCCCACCCTGCTCCCTGGAGCCCTGGTTTCTGGCCACCTCGGAATCTACTGGCCCTGCCCGGGACACTGCCCGGCCTATCTGTGGGGTTCCATGCCTTGTTTGTGGTTTCTGTTTGTTTTATAATTTAAGAATATAATTCCATTCATCACTGTAATTATTATTTTCTACAATAAATGGGACCTGTGCACAGGAGGACTGGGGTCTGTGTTTCGGGTTTCAGCGGTGGGTGGGTAGAGGTGGGGGCTGGGCTAGGGGCTGACAAAGGACAGGGGTCATTGAGGGCCATGGACATCATTGTTTTTTTGGCCAGGACTTGAGAGCTTAAGAAATGTATTTCAGGGAATTAGGACAAATCAGAGCTGACCCGACTTCTCGATGATCACCGTGTTACAGCGATTTATTATCTGGAGGCTGAGTCCTTCCTCACCCAGCAGCCAGCCGGTCTACTCTCCCTCTCTGGGTCACCTTTCAGGTCCCACCTCAGGCTGTCCCTGCCCTGGGCCTGGAATGTCCCTTCTCTTTTCTCCACCCTTCTGAATCCTGCTTGTCCTGAAGGTCCAGCTTTATGGCTCCTCCCCCAGATGCAGGCCTTCTCACAGCCCCCAGATGCAGGGCTTACCCTGAGCTCTGTCCCAGCTGCTCTGATGACGGTCACCAAGTCCTTTGACCTACCCTAGAACTCCCATTCCAACCTCATCTTACAGACGAGGAAGCCAGGCCGGGACACGTGGAAACATTGGATCAAGGCCTGACCGACGGTTGGGCCCAGTGGCTCCCAGTCTCGTGTTGTCTGGTAAAGGGGCCTGGGTCTCTGTACTCAATCCCCTGGTCTTGCTCATGTCCCCGCTCTGCCTGTCAAGGTGTACATGTCCCCACACTGCCCCGTCTTGGTTTCTTCATCAATGAACCAGAGGTGAGCGTGCCCACCATCCCGGAGGCAGTCACAAAGCCACATTTATGAGTGTGCCTGGCTCAGAGTGTCTTGGGGTGGGAGCCCTCTCTGTCAGCCTTTCCTGGAATGAGAGAAATCAAATCAAGAGCCTTTCCCTCCTTTTTGAGAGCTCATTTAATAAGGAGAACATTCTTGAGGGATAGGGCTGGCACCATTTCTCAGAGAGGCCCAGTGGTGGGTATGACATAGAGAGTCACAGGTTCTGCAGGGTCTGGGGGTTGGGTCGTGTCTCCTTGGCCTGGGCTGCCTCCTGCTTTCGGTACAGATAGACGATGCCTGAGATGAAGGCGTCGTTGGCAGAGGTACCAGACACCACCTCGTGTTCAGAGGTGGCCAGTTCCCACTGATCCACAGGCCAGGCCACCAGACGTTTCCATGCCCCGGCCTGCTCCAGCCTGTCCAGGGTGGCCTCCAGTGCTTCCTTAAAGTGAAGGTTGGATGGGTTGGTCCTGGTGGTCAGACATACCAGCCCACCTGGAGAGGGGGAGGATGGGTGAGCTGAGTGCGGGGCAGGGGCTGTTTATAGCTTCAAGCCTCTCCTAGTGTCATCTTCCAGCCAGTCTTCACCCAGCTCCATGCTAAGCTGGTCACACTCCCTTCCCAAGAAAGAGCTCCCTCCTCCCTGGTCTCCAGCTTGTCTGGGGCTCCTGCCTCCCTGGTCCCCAGGCCCTCATCTCCAGCTTGTCTGGGGCCTGGGAAGGCAGAAGGGAGCACTTTAGCTTCGACCTTGGGCAGGCCCCTCACTGCTCTGAGACTCCTTGCGCATGTCTGTTGGCGAGGAGATGATTCTCCTTCTCCTGGGAGGTCTGGTGTGTATGAAATGCCTGGTATGTTCCAAAAGCACTGGAGAAATGGCAGGGTGACCACACCTGCCATTCAGATCTACCCAGGTACCCACAGTTTACCCAGTGACATCTCAGATACTCTGAGGGAGAGCCGGGCGAGACTAGTGACTGATGTCTGGGAGGCTTTCTGGATGAAGTGACTCTCTCTCATGGTGGTGGTGGGGTCTAGGAGCAGACCAGAGGTGGGGTGGGGTGGGGAGTAAGGTTGGGTAAAGGAGGCCCAGATGTTGCTGGTTCATGTTTTGGGGCCCAATCTCTAATTCTCCTGATGACATGCTGCTGATGTCATCTCACTGCATTCCAGGTCTGCCCAGACCTGCCCTGGCATTAGTCACAAGCCCTGTTGGGCCCAGGGGCTAAAGGCACAGGGAGGAAGTGATGTGACTGAGATAAGGAGATTCTCTGACTTCCTGTTTGCTATGGGTAGCCAGTGTCTCCTGGTCCTCACGCCATTCTCCTTTCTGCCTATGATTTGAAAAAGCTGATAGATTGTCCTCACTTCTCAGCCCAGAGCCTCTGGAGAGCTATTCTCTGAATTCTCAGAGCCCTCTGGTCCCTTCCTGGACCCCCAGTGAGTTGTTGAGCATGGTCCAGAGGTGGTGGTGGCTTTGTGCTGCCCAGTTCTTTTGACTCATAGCAACCCTGTATAGGGTTTCTGAGGCTATAAATCTTTATGGGAACAGAAAGACTCATCTTTCTCCTGTGGAGTGGCTGGCAGATTTGAACTGCTGACTTTGCGATTAGCAGTCTAACTTGTCACGCACTATGCCACCAGGGCCCCTTACAGCCCAGAGAGCAGGGTCTATATCTTCTCCACAGAACACACAGTAGAAGCACAGCAAACACAATCTACCCAGCACATGGGCCCAATTGTAGTTTACAAAATGTGCCTACCAGAGCAAACCCACTTCACAGATGGGGAAGCGGAGGCTGGAGAAGAGATAACTACTTGCTGGCTTAAGTCCAGCCCAGGAGTTAATAAGGAAGCTGGAAGGTGAGGAGGGAACTGAGCTGTGTACCTTCTGTGTGTCAGGATTAGAGCAAACGCCTTAGAGAGAAGAGGGTGCGTCACTCACCTCTCAGTGCAGTCCCTAAGGGGAAAGGTTAGAGCTACCCCTGTTTGTAGGGAAAACGGAGGCTGGAGAGGAAAAGTAGAGCTGCTCCCAGTTGCCCACAGGATGAGAAGTGAGCTGGCTACCTGATGGTGGCTGGGAAGCGAAGCTACTCTATATGACTCTGAGCAGAGCCTTGGCCCAGTCTGGGCCTGAGCAGTTCCGAGGCATGTATAGAGCAAGAAGGTATCTCTCTGTGAGTATTGTTCCTCACCTGGCTTGGCGACACGCAGGAGCTCAGGCACCGCACTGCAGGGCACTTGGCCATCGCTGAGGGCACCCACTATTAGCACTGCATCAAAGGTCCCTGTGGTGGGGTGTAGGGGTGTGTAGTGGGGTGGTTTGTCTGCAGTATAGCCTCAGGTTACCCTGGAGGGCAGTGTCCTATGGCAGGGGCCTGGGGAGGGACAAGGCCTGCCACCCAGATTCCAGGGTGTGTGTGGTCTGTGTGGCTCAGATCATGAAGTGGAAGGCTCAATGAGGGGGAGCCTGGGGGCTCAGAGAGGATCTCAGTGAGGGAGTAGGGGGCTTAATGTGTGTGTGTGTGTGTCTTGGAAGGGCTTGGCAAGGGGGGTGGGTCTTAGAGAGGTGAAGAGGGGCATGGTGAGGACAAGTAGGTCTCAGTGTAAGAACGGGGGGGAGGGGCAGAGTGAGGAGCAGGGGCTCATGGGGGACTCAGCAAGGAAGTGGAGGCAGGGCAAGAGGAGGGGACTTGGTGCAGGTACACTTTGGGATGTCAGGAGGGGAGGTACCGTCAGGGCTGGGCAGAGGCTCCTGGCCCAGGGTGCAGAGGCTGAGGCTCTGGTAGAGGCCACGGGCTTGAGCCTGTTCCAGCATCCTGGGACTCCCATCTATTCCATGCAGCTGGAGGAAGCCCCGAACCTGTAGCTGGGGGTCCAGGTAAGATTTTCAGTCATTAACCATACCCTACCACTTCCTAGCTGGGTCCCCATATCTGGGGAGGCCCATGTGTTGGGACCAGTGGGTCTGAGTGGAGAGGTGGCGTGCTGGGGTCCCAGCAGGGGTGGGGAATTTGGGGAGGCCTCACCTCAGCAGCCACCAGGCCGGTGCCACAGGCCACATCCAGGATCAGGGAAGTGTGGGGCAGACCTGGAAGGGCTTGGGTGAGGCATTCCACTGCGAGGTGGGGGGCACGGTACTGCAGCGTGGCCACATCCTGGGGACAGAGTGCTGAGCTGACCGTCACCTGTGTTCTAGGGCCTGGGGGACTTCCCGTGGGGTTGGAGGTGGGCTCTGTTGCAGCTACACTGAGGACAGACCTGGCAAGAGAGGTGAGCCCCTACCACTCTGCTTTCAGGACCTCCTCTGCTTAGTCCCAAGGGACCCTCAATGACCCCTCCTCCAGGGTGCTGTCTGGCTGGGCTGTGGCCCTAGGGTGGGGAGGTCTTGGTCTCTGCTCTCTGAGGTTTGGAGCTGGTCAGAAGACAGGGACTGTGGCTGGACAGGGGAAGTGTTAGGCCCTAAAGGGGGCAGGACTGCAGGGCCCCTAACCTGGTCTTCCTTCATTCTCACAGCTGTGCCTGGACCCAAGGCTAACGGATCATTTCCACTTTACAGATGGGAAGACTGAGATTGGGTGAGCAGAGGGAGACACGGCCCCTGGAGGGTTACCTGGTCGTAGTCTGGGGCCCAGTCGTCATAGAATTGGAGTTTGCGGGCCAGGTCGGTGATACCGTGTGAGGCCCCAACCCGTGCTCGCACCTCCTCCTGCGTCATCTTCCTGTGGGGACAAGGCCTTCCTCATCCCCCTGTCCTGAGAACCCCTCAGTTTCCAGCTCCCCGACCCATGTCCAGCTGTCAGCACCTCCCTCTCCAGCCCAACTTTTCAGATGGGGACACTGAGCACAGAGAAGACGGGACATCGACTCCCCAGGACTGCAGTGCTGAGGAGACTGACGGGATGATCTCCTGGTGACAGGATCCCTAACAGGGTCGGGATCAGGACTTACCACCTGGGACCGCCAGAGCTCAGGGAGAGGCCTGCTCGCAGAACCTGGCCCTGCCCCCTTGCCGCCCTCGCTGATTGGCTCTCTGCTAAGAGAAACTAGCCAATTAAAGGAAAACACTGGCCGCACGCGAGCCACACCCCCAGCCAGTGAGCTCTCGTTTGCCGGCGCGCACCTGCAGTCTGGGAAGATGAAGATCCCAGATTCAGAGATTTGCAGAAAAGTGGCCTCCGCTGCTGAAGCAGCACCATCTCTACTGTTTTCCTCCAACTGACTGCCTCCAGATCGGTCTCCCAAAGTTGCTTACGTTTCCTAAGAGCTTGAGATTTTAGTCAGAGGGGAGCCTCTGAATTCTTACAGGCAAGAGGGGATCAGCTTTCATTTTTAGAAGGCTCATCAAGGATTAGGCAATGCTGTCCTGTAGAACTTTCTGGGCGGATGGAAATGAGAGCTACCATTTGCGATGTCCACTGCGGTAGCCACTAACCACGTGAGCACACACGTGGAATCTTATGGGACAGTTTTACTCAGTGCTGTCGAGTCCCTTTGTGTTGGAATCAACTTGAAAGCAACTAATTTGTGGAGCTGTTATTACGTGCTGTCGAGTCGATTCCGACCCATAGGGTTTCCAAGGAGCAGCTGGCGAGCTTGAACCGCCGACCTTGCAGTTCAAACGGCTTTGCAGTCTGGCGCATTAACCCACAGCGCCACACCAGGACTCCAGTTTGTGGAGCTGGTGGCCACCATATGGGGAGCTCTGGGAGCTTTGTCTGTCAGCAAGGTGTAACAGCTGCTAAGCCTCAATAACTTGCCTTGCTCCAGGGGAGATCCCCAGGTGAACTTTTAGACTGCAAATTCGAATCTCACCCCAACAGACTGATGGGAATCAGATTGCTGTGGCCCAGGACTCTGTTTTAACCAGCTTTCCGAGTGATTTCTACGCAGCTACAGTTTGAGACCACCCCCTGTCTTTTGCTTTGTCTTGCTGTGATGAATACTGGAAGCTGAGTTACTGATATTTCAAGTACCAGCAAGGTGTCCCTGAGTAGGGAGGTTTCAACAGAGCTTCCAGACTTAGACAAGGAAGTTGTTGTTGTTGTGAAGTGCCGTCAAGTTGATTTAGACCCATAGCGACCCTGTATAGGGTTTCCAAGGAGCAGCTAGTGAGCTTGAACCACTAGCTTTGTCTTTGCAGTTCAAACGACTTTGCAGTCTAACGCATTAGCCCACAGTGCCACACCAGGACTCTGGACAAGGAAGTAAGGCTTGGCAACTCAGGAGATTAGCCAATACATCATTTATGGATCACAACAGAATGGTGTCTGACTCTCTTGCTTTGAACGTACCCTCAGGAGAGATGAGTCTCTGGAGGAGAACGTTGCATTTGATGAAGTTGGGGACTCCTGTGAGATGGAGTGGTACCGTAGCCACAGTGATGGACTCGAACATGTTGGTTCAAGTTTGTGAGAATGACAGACACGGGCTACATTTCACTCTTGTACATGGGGTTCCCATGAACTGGAGTCGACTTGATGGCAATTAACAACAACAAAATTTAAGAAGCACTGGCCTCCGCGACCCACGTAGGGGACTAAAGTTTGGGCAGGCTGTTGGGAGATGCTAGTAGAATGAACTTGGGGAGAGGTCATGGTAATAAAGGGGAGTGGATGGATTCCGGAGATATTTAGGTTGTAGAAGCAACATGGCTTTGAAGATTGGCAGAATGTGTGGTTGGGGAAGCGAGATGTCAGGATGATGCCCAGGGTTCTGGCTAGAGTCCTTGGGTATTGGTGGTGCCATTCGCAGCAGGGAGGAAGCCCAGGAGGAGGAGATGTTTTTGGAGTGCAGAGGATATTACCATTTGGGGCATGTTAAACTTGAGGTGCCTCTGTAGGTAAAGATGTCCCGGTACCTGGGTACTTGATGCTAGTGTTTTGAGCTCAGAAGAGAACTAGGTGTCTGGATGCATTCAGGGCACTGGTATACTTGGTGGTAGCCGAGAGAGCTGGTAAGAATGAAACTGTGCAAGAAAAGAAGAGGAGGAAGAGAGGAGAGGGCCCAGGACCCACTTTAAGGACCCCAACACTTCAGGGCAGCTGAAAGTAAGGAGCTCTGGTAGCGTAGTGGTTACAAATAGGGCTGCTAACTTCACGGGCAGCAGTTCGAAACTACCAGCTGTTCCGCGGGAGAAAGATGAGGCTTTCTGCTCCCGTAAAGATTTACAGCCTCGGAAACCCTGTGCAGGGTCACTATGAGTTGGAACCGACTACATGGCACATAACCACCACCACCACCAAAGGACAAGGAGTGGCTAGGAGTATTGGAGAAAATCCAGAGAAAGGAAGCCAAGAACAGAGAAAATTGTATTTTAAAAAGATGGGATCAATAAAGGCTTGTAAAAAAAAAAAAAGAATACAAGAGACAAGGATGACTAATAGTGACCGATGTTGCTGAGAGGTGGTCTACAATAAGGTCTAAGAAATGTCTGCTTATAGGGACAAGGAGGTTCTTGGTGACTAAGGTAAACCCTCCGAATACACCAAAGACCAGAAAAGTTGTGTGATGACATCAAGAACATCATACATGAAGAAACCAAAAACTCATAAGAAGACAAGAAAGAAGGCAAAGACCAAGATGGGTATCAGAAGAGATCCTGAAACTTGCTTTTGAACTCAGAATAGCTAAAGCAAAAGGAAGAAATGTTGAAGTAAAAGAGGTGAACAGACGATTTCTAAGCGTGGCTTGACAAGACAAACTAAAGTATTGTAATGAAATGTGTAAAGGCCATGGAATTAGAAAACCAAAAGGGAAGAATTTCTCAAACATTTCTCAAGCTGAAAGCACTGAAAAAAAAAAAACAAAAAACAAAAAAACACAAAAATTCAAGTGGTGTGGGTTAATGTGCTGGACTGCAAAGTCTGTTTGAACCACAGGGTCGGTGGTTCAAACTCACTAGCCATTCCTCAGAAACCCTATACAAGGTCGCTGTGGGTCAGAACCGACTTGTGAGTACTTAACAAGGACAACAATCTTTGAAGGGGAGCGTGGTGGCTGTATAGGATAAGCACTGGACTTGGAACCACAAGGTCAACAATTTGAACCCTTAGAAATCCTATACAGGGGCACTGTAAATTGGAACCAGCTGAGAAGCACTTAACAATATCAATGATCTTTATAGATTTTCTCCAAGGACGCAGGACGATCATGGGGGCTTATTATGAAGACATTTTAAGAAACTGAAATCTTCAATGGTGAGAAAAAGCCAGGAAAATTGCACGCAGGAATTTGTTACCCTCATGACAATTGTTTGAGGGTAGCAAGGGCTGTCCTGAGAGAATTTCATTAGGAAACTTTATCCCATTTGCCCTCCCGCTCTGATACTGCCCCCTCAGACTTCTTTTGTTCCCCAAACTCAAAGAACATTTAAGTGAACATGATTTGAGTCCTTTGAGAAGGCCCAAACTGCCATTTTGATATGGTGCAAGTCAAAGTGCACAGAATTCTTTGGGGAAGGGTTGTTAAGTTGTTAAGTGCTGTTGAGTCCATTCCGACCCATGGTGACCCTGTATAGCGTTCCAAGGAGCAGCTGGTGAGCTTGAACCAGCGACCTTGCAGTTCAAACAACTTTGCAGTCTGACGCATTAGCCTATACCACCACACCAGGACTCCTGGGGAATGGTTAGTCACATGGAAACACTGCCTTCAGAAGTGTATGTTGTTATTGTTAAGTGCCATCGAGTCGGTTCCAACCCGTAACGACTCTGAACAGGGTTTCCAAGGCTGTAAATCTTTACCGGAGCAGAAAGCCTCATCTTTCTCCCATGAAGCAGCTGGTAGTTTTGAACTGCTGACCTTGCGGTTCACAGCCTGATTCGTAACCACTACGCTACCAGAGCTCCTTTCAGAAGTGTATAGAACTGCTTTTTTACAAAGATGGCGCCAAAAGCAAAGAAGGAAGCCCCTGCCCCTCTCAAAGCTGAAGGCAAAGCAAAGGAGTTGAAGGCCAAGAAGGCAGTGCTGAAAGGTGTCCACAGCCACACACACACACACAAATCCACACGTCACCCACCTTCTGGAGGCCCAAGACTCTGAGGTTCCATAGGTAGCTCAGAAGAGCGCCCCCAGGAGAAAGAAGCTTGACCACTAGGCCATCATCAAGTTCCCTCTGACTACTGAGTCAGCCATGAAGAAGACTGATGTTATAACACACTTGTGTTCAGTGTGGAGGTCAAGGCCAACAAGCACCAGATCAAGCAGGCCATGAAGAAGCTCTATGACATTGATGTAGCCAAGGTCAACACCGTCATCAGGCTGATGGGGAAAAGAAGGCATATGTTTAACTGGCTCCTGACTAGGATACTTTGGATGTTGCCAACAAAAGTGGGATCATCTAAACTGAGTCCAGCTGGCTAATTCTAAATATCAATTTTTTCAATACAAAAAGAAAAAAAGTGTAAAAACCTAGTTGGAGGATAATTTGAGAAACAATAGCTTAACATTTTGATATTTTTGTTTAATAACATTTTTTGACTTACTCTTATTCAATCTGTATGCTGAGCAAATAATTTGAGAATTGGAATATAAGAAGAAGAATGTAGCATCAGGATTGGAGGAAGATGCATTAACAACCTATGATATGCAGATGATACAACCTTACTTTCTGAAAGCAAAGAGAACTTGAAGCACTTACTGATAAAGATCAAAGACTACAGCTTTTGATTACTTGTCAACAAAAACACACAAAAGTTCCCACAACTGGACCAATAAGCA